CCACCTTGCTGAAAGGTTCTAGATGGGTCTCTGCTCCTGCTCTTCCACCAGTTCTACCCCGCGGGTACATGCTCTGCTGTGGTCGAGCAACGCACTAATTGATTGGATAATAATGGAGGGTATCTGCGTTCGTATCGTGTGGCAAGACTATGTGCGTATGTATGGACGTACGGGCGCAATTTGACAGCAGCGACGTATAAATGGGTGAGCGAACGAGTTTGGAGAAAGGTAGTAAAGAAATGAGAGGTGCCGCAAGAAATCGCAATTCACAAGGTGAAGGGAGTTGAGTGAATGGCCAATCGTTAGAAGTATCGATACGGACAGTCTTCCTTTCCATCTAACTCTACGCAACTAGGACAATTCGTTTTTTTTTTCTTCTTCGCCTGGGTAGAGCAGGTCGCGGAGCGCGTTGGAAGATTCTCTTTGCGAACCTGCGCTTAGCAACCGGTACTATCCGTTTCTAGGTTGGTACATGTATAGCTTACTCGGGTACTGTATTTGTATGGCCACCATCATCATCAGAATGGCGCTTTTTCTCTCTGGTGGATGTTACCGAGATCATCACGACATGAATTTCAAGGAGGTTTATGTTTGACATCCCACAAAGTGCTGCGAGGTTCACTTTTCACAACCTGTTCTCAACCCCAAAATTGACTTTAGCATGTGTGTCCTGATCCTTGCATCATGTACACACTAGTACACGCTCTACCGGAAAATCTCACTTATCTATGTCTTGTGCGCACTTTATCTAATCTAATCACTAATTTCTTATCAATCGCATCAGTACAGCATCAGAGGCGTACGCAGCGGTGAGGTCATAAATCACGACCCAAGCCACCCCAAGACAAGTATCTAGAGTAATCCTGTTTCTTGCGGAATTTCAGAGGGGTTGAGCCGTCTATATAAACACTTTGTGCTTCCATCATAGACCCACATCCCTCTGCATAACCACATCTTATACCATATTAATAGTTCAAGAACTTCGTTCATAAACTATCACTCACCTCTCGATATCACTCACAAGCAATTATTCGAACCATATAATTATATAACAATAATGTCGTATACCAAAAGTACTCGCGACAGTGGCCTTGGGCTTAATGAGGATTTCGCCCCTCCACCTGGTCCTCCACCTCCAATAATGCCCGAAGGATGGGTCGCACGTTTTGATGAGCGCTACCAACGCTTCTACTATGTCAACACCTACACAAAACAATCACAATGGGAGAAGCCGCCGGGGACTATTGACCCTCCTGCTCTAGGTATATCCTAAAATGTCCTGCTCACAAAAGAAATTTACTGATCGAAAATTAGGTCGGAGTCCCACTGATTTCGACCGTCCACCGCCTATAACAGCGAAAGTAGCCGCCGCGAAGACCGGCCGGTAACCCCAACTCCTCAACAGAAATATGAATCTCTCCTCCCTCCACAGCCTCAACAGCAGCAGCAACAATACCTACAACCTCCTCGACCCCAGACTTCAACTTCAGGCTCAAGTTCTCCTTCGCGAGGGCTTAGCGGGCGCTTGTCATCGTTTCTAAAATCACATGCTGCCAAGTCGCCCCGACCACAGCAGCAGCAATACTACTATCAGCAGCAGCAGCTTCCGGTATACTATGGCGGTGGTGGAGGCATGATGGGAGGACAGAGAAGACCGGGAATGGGTGCCGGTGGCGCGGCAGCGTTAGGTGTAGGTGGTGGTTTGTTAGGAGGTATGTTGTTGGCAGACGCGATGGATGATCATCAATACGATCAAGGCTTTGAGGATGGACAGGATTATGGCGGTGGTGGGGAATTTGGTGGTGATATGGATTTTGGTGGAGGCGACTTTAAGTAAATGACGATGGTGGCATGTAAGATATATCAGTGTTGGCGTTTTTTTGTCAGGATCTGGGTTCGGCTTTTGGGTACAGATGAATCACATACATATAAATGTACGATATACGTATAAATTGTTAAAAATTAAGCTATGCGGGGTATGAATGTCAATAGCTGATGGTATCTGGACCGTCGGTCACCACCATCTCGATGTCAAGAATGCCCAACGTACTCTACAGGCCAAGCACCCGAGTGATAACCTGTGAAACTAAGCGCAAAAGCGTAACAGCAATCAAAAGTTCCCGGATGTATATAGGGGATAGACTCCTAGCCTACTACGTCTGCAACACAAAAGGCCAGGGTGTTGCGAAACAAAAATATAATTGTTTATTTGTATTTTAGCTTCATAATCAATTCAAGTTCCACTATTTTTCTTTTCCGTCCTTTCGACAGCTTAACGTATGTGTCCATCACTTGCGGCGCATATTCTCCCATTTTATCTGAGAATGCATATATAAGATGCATATGTGAAGAAAAGATCAGTAATAAATCATAAAGGGCTTTTTTTTCTTTCTTCTTTTCTATTCTTTATATTAGCCGTCAGTATAGAATAGATCTACCTGTACTAGGTAAGTACATGTATTTAGACCAGGTCGGAACTTGCGGGCAACGTCTAATATTATAGAGATAAAGAATTTATCTGTTAAAATAATGCCCTATCCCTATTAACACTAATTATTGATAATATACAGTGAAAATAATGCCCTGCATGAATGATATGTAATCTATACATTGTATAATAATGGGCACCCAGATCTCCCGCTCTCTCTGAAGTTATAACTACATATCGAGCTGGAGCTTTACATAGGATCCCAATGAAGCTTTTGAAGTAGCTATGTAATTATTTTGGATTAGTCGGCGAAGCAAACAGTTATAAAGATAAACTAGAAACTCACCGAGAAGCTCTCGAATGGTACTCCTCTCCATTCCCGGCCACTTTTCCCTTTTCCGCTCAACGTGATCGAATCACTGTAGAACTGGGGATCAAAGTCCAGCAGCTCTCCCCATGCCACCAAAAGCCTCCTCCAATAACAGTTGGTCGCGGCAGGACTCAAGTACCTCCTCCAAATCTCCCTACTCCTCGCTGCGATCTCTTCGGCCTTTGCAGGATTCTTCATCAAAAATTCAATCTTCTCCTCCAAATCGCTCCAATCTCTCTTGATCTCTACAAAGTTTTGTAGTGGTCCCTGTGAAACCATGAGTGGATGGTAATGCTGAACCCAGTTCAATTTATGGGCAATGATGACAGAGTGGCAAGCTTGCAGATACTTGAGTCTCCCGCTGTAACTGTATCCCTCCACATGTGCCAGGAATTTATACCGGCAGTGGTCTGCCATCGTCAAAAGGTCGTTTTTAACACTTTCCGGATTTCCCCAATCCACAGTTTTAATGTTGGACCACGGCTTATCCTTCGTGGCATCAAACAGGCCTTTCCTTATATCCAACCCCAAGTCTGCACCACGCCAAACCAATTTGTTTTCCTTCCCATCAAGTGAATATCTCCCGTCTCTAGGTGATATATATTCCGCATCGACATCGTCAGCTTTGAGGAGAGCCTCGATAAAAGAGCCAACTTTGGGCTCAGGCCATGACCAGTGACCAAAGTCAGGCATGAGCCAGGTGCTATTGGTTGTTTCTCCAACGTCCCGAGCGAACGCCCAGGCAAGGTAGCCCCCCTCAAGTTTATCCCCAGTGGCAAGAGCAAACTCGCTATTAGGAAGAGGGTGTGGACTGGTGATTATGGCTTGGTGGAGGGAATGGAGAGTTGCGAGACGGCGAGAATGATACCGTCGTTTGCAGTAATCACATAAAGCTGCATATTGCGTTAATGGTGCTGACAAGTAGGCGCTCCAGAACAATAATACCTGGTTATCACGAATCATCGCCCTGATATATCCGTAAGAGTTTTCAAACTCGAGCTTCTCTAGCTCATCGAGTCGTATTTTTCGACTTTTTCTTCCCGCTACCATCCTATCAATCTCAACAAACAATCCTGGAAATGCAACTTCGCACTGATCATTTGACATGGCTAGATTCTTCGCGTTGATATCTGACTGGAGGTGTCTTGATCCACATTGTCCTGAAAATGGGACTGATGAGCACCCAGAGGATAATGAAGTATTTAAAAAGTATAAGAATAGGAAAAATGCGGCAAGCCAGAACGAAACGAGGAGAACACTCGGCCGCGGCTGCGAAATTCGAAGGAGACCAAGCATGGTGAAAAACGAGCGAATGGCCTGGTCTGGCCTGGGTTAGCGTACAGTGGTGGTTGTTCTTTTCTGTATTGAACACTGGGATAGCTGCCCAGGGGCGTAGGGGGGAAGGGAATTGGGCCAATTTAGTACCACTCGTCTCACCCCCCTTCTCCGTCTAGAGTCACCTATCTAGTAATTTCCTATATATACGTTTCCCTCACCCGTAGCCCGTAGCCCATAGGCGCTAAGATCAAGGCATTATTACATGTATATAGGGTCTTTTATGGCTTCATGTGTAACACCCGTATACGTATTATCTCAGACGGCTGCATGACCATCCGTGGTTCTAACCAGTCAACCTACAGCAGTGCCGAACACACGTACACCTATGCCTCTCCGCCAGTTGCCGTTTCTCTTGGCAATACTTGATCTGGGCAATGAACTTCCAGGCTTGGAATCTTCTTCTTGATATTAGAAACTGGTTTTATTGATCATTGCCAGGAGAAACGGCGACTGAGTGGTTACGGCCATTTGCGGGCCTATTAATATAAGAACGGCGTTCTTTGTTAAATTTTTAGTTTTCACGGCGTCATCTTTATGCTAAGAAGCCGCGAAAATCAAAAGAATACAAATATGAGAATGGTAGTCATTAATTTTGCTAAATCTGACCGTTGCCCTAGGCCTAAACTATCTATTTGGGGAAGAACTACGCAAAACGAATTGACTCCACTTTGGCTCTACTGCAGCGGTTCACGTGAGCGACTGCTGCACAAGATTTTATTCTGTCTGGACATATCATCTGATCTCTGCCAAAGCTATTTTGTGCTTTGCCGCAAGTGGACAATTTTCCAGTACTAAGATCTAGACTTTAGAGGCATTAAGGGTGCCTCAACCTACTTTAATCACATCTTATAATATAGGCATTACTTCCCATAGTATTTTTTACCCAAATCAGGTGTACGTAGCTAATATTTCTAAATGTAGGGCAGCTCTGATGGGATATCACTCACTTACACACTTACTAAATCACAACCTGTCCAATCTAGTATCACTCTGATCTCAGCCATGACATATCACTCACTACCGTAAAAGGCCAAAAAAAATGGATTTTTATTGGGGTTTTTATAAAAAAATAATCTAATGAATGTCGTAACTCCACCGCATGCATGCAAAACCAACAACTAAACCAATCTAAATAAGAACAATGAATGGCAGCCGGCTAGAAGCATACGTATACTCCATAGCCAGAACTCAACAGACCAGACTAAACCAAATTGCAAACCACACGAAAGAAACCCAAATGCAATATCCCCAATCACCAGCGCTCGTTCGCATACTCGCGCACCCATCCACCGGCATCCATCCGCCCACTCACTCACCAACACTCACCATTTAATACCCTGGGGCGGGGTGAATTAGACACCGCACTTGCCCGAGTCGTCAACCGGCACCCAGCTCATGGTTGTGCCAAAGGAGGTGCAGATCAGGTCCGTGACGCGGTCCTCGTCGCGGCCGCAGACGATGTTACCGACGGTTCTGCAGGAGGAGCAGCCGGCTTCGCCAGTGAATGGTTTGCCGGAGGGACACTCGGGGACGGGGGAGGTGGTGGGGGAGGTGATGGGGCTGGCGGCGACGAGGATGCCAGCGAAGGCAACGAGGAGGAGGGAGATCATGGAGATCATCTGCATTTTGAGATTGGAGGAGTGGGTTTTTGGAAGTAGATGTTTTTGTAGAGGAAGATGGAGGTAGAGAAGTAGATGATCGAAGACAATTGATAATCGAGAACTAAACTGAGTTGAGCTGAGCTGAGAACTGAAGGTAAAGATGAAGATGGTTGAGAAGGATGAGGAGGGAAGAGAATTGAGGTAGGAATTGAGAGTCCTTTATACTGAAAAATTGCTGTAGTGAGTAGAGAGATATCCCCCACACACACTTCACGACCTACAGATTTTCTGCGATCACCATCATTGTCCCGCCAAATCGTAAGAATACACGCTAGACGTCGTCAGCAGATATCATTACCACACCTCTGTGCCGGCAAGTACCTCCATTAGAAATATACTCTAATCGCAATATTCGGTCAATCATGAACAACTGAGTAATACCGAGTGAAGTATTTGGAATGTTCATGACATCAAGTGGATGTAGGCGAGTTTAGGTATATAGGTCGATACTGCTATCAAGAAAGAAAGAAAAAAGGTTTTGCAGCTTACCACGCAGTTTCTCCAATGGACGGGCTACTCCGTAGCTCACTTGCAGTATGTATGATACAGTAAAATAAGTAAAATAAGTAAATAGTAACATTACCGATCAAGTTAGAACCCCATGTGGTCGAAAATTTCCCCGGATTTGTTCTTACCTGGTGCCGACGTATGAGTCGGTATGACAATACCATCAGCCTTAGGACTGGTAACGGTGGAATCATACATACATGTACGTACCCAATCTTAAATTTACCGGCCGAAGCCATCCCCACGGTATTGGGTTATCTGTAAGACCTATATCGAGAATACTGCATGTATGTACTCGTAATTTCATTGCGTTTGTGAACATAGCTGGGTCTGCATACACCAAAATCTGGAGCCTCATGCAGGATTTTGCAGGTATGCAACCCAGTTGTGTTCACAAACGCTATGAAATTACGAGTACAAGTATTACCAAGAATACGGCGTAGAACTTTATTTGTCATTGGCGGGTAGAGTGCGTGGCTGTGTGTAAGGTAAGATGTGTGGCCATGACAACGCATGCATGCTCGGGATCGTTTGTGATTGGAGCTTAACGGGTCCGTGAGGTCAAGTAATCGCGAAAGGCGAGAAAACCTTGGCACTAGTGTCTAATAAAGGATACCATCGAGTGATATTCTATGAGGCAATTTCTTGAAGGCTAGGAGCGCTAGCTATTCGATCTCCGGTGAGAGTTGTTGAAAGTTCTCTATTATTGAGCATTAGTGGGGGTTTTACCCAACCAGGTGCTTGTAGTGTGGCCCACCATCCAAGGCTGTCATTCATTGACTGAATATATACTATATGATCGATCACAGAGAGGATTCTAGTCAAAAATCTTTGTCGGCATGATTGTTTCCAGTATGTACCTCTTCTCCCGTTGCCCTGGTCTGAAAAATATCCTCGGTTGCCCTGGTTTGAAAAAATACATGTATCTTCGGTTACCCTGGACTGAAAAAATATCTTGCGTTCACGATCATTGGCCTACCTCCCGAACCATATCATTAGCCTATATTATATTGTCAAATCCTATAGGCTTTGCTCAACAAGCGGAGTTGTTCGGCCCTGTGAGAAGCCTTTTAGCTGCACGTGTCGAACAGAAATTCGAGCACTTGGACAAAATTCCTGCACACCTTATTGGTTGAACGATTGAAGTCTCTTCCTATCCCTTAAGCTGTCGATGCTGACCCCCCCTATATATAGCAGATCTAGAGGAATTAGATTTGCATGAGAGATCTATTATTTGATAAGAGAGATAACGGGATCTGTTAATAAAGCCACGCCAAATTTGCTTTTTTTTTTTTTTGGTGGGTCAGCATTTTCGCGACAGCTTATGGGCTGCTACACTTTCTGTCTAACCCGCTCGGTTTTTGGTTCAACGCGCGCAGTTAAAAGACTCTATTATTTAACTTATCAATCATGTCGATGATAAAAATTACCTACTGTTCATCGCTAATACTCCCCATAACTATATGTAGGCAAGAAATACCAAGCCAGATCTGCACTACTCTAGGTAACCTTCCAGAATATAAGCACACCCAGCTGCAGCGCGAAATAATACGAATCCCCATCGCCAGGGATATGAGAAAATCCTTACTCCAAAGAGATAATGAAAGCGAGTACTCGGGCGTTCATTAAATGGTCGGATATCGTTGCAACCAAATCCCTACTAAGAATTCCGACCATTTAATAAACGCATGAGTACTCGTAATGCAAAAGTGCCGGTACAGTCAACATTCCAGAATACGCTTCGTCGTTTTTCCTAAGGTTTTTTTTTTCCTACTAATTTGGTAACAGGTATACGTAGGAGAGGGGTTACGTATCTCGAAGTGAAGGAATTCATCATGCTTTAAAGCCGAAATAATAAAAGGTAATTATCGAGTGCATGTAGATAGGATCTTCATATCGCGATGGAAACTCTCATGGGAGGCTGGCAGCAGCTATATCAGTCACAATATCAGAAAGTCCCAACTTTCTACATGTCGAAATGATAGTGATATGACCATAGCTGTGGTACCTATATTATAAGATGTAATTTAAGTAGGGTTGGGGCACCCTCGCCCTTGAAGTCTTGGTACTGGAAACTGTCGACCCGCAGCAAAAACACAAAATAGCCTTAGTAGAGATCAGATGATATGTTTATCAAGGATCACAGTTTTATTTTCTCGCCCGGAAACTGCTCCAGCCGCCGACCGGTTTGGACACGGACATTCTGTTTGAATGGGGCCACATACGGTGTTTAACCCGACGAGCATTCTGCCGCTAGATAACTTACCTACATCTTGTACCGCCTGTCATTGGCGTTTGGGGGGCTGGCGCCAAGCAACACAAGTGCCCAAAACATGATATGGCAGAGTGATATCTTATGTCCGAGCCTACATACATATAATCCATCTACATCTAATGCTCCGTCGACTCAATCACCTCCGGATACCTAAACCCAGCCTGCGCCCTCACGCTATCCATCGCCTCCATGACCAGCAACGACTCCTCCAATGGCATAGTCTCACTTTCCAGCTTTCCGTCCCTCAAACACCTCGCGGCCTCATCCGCCTCCCAATGCATTCCCTTGCCCGCAGGCACGGGGCACTCCACCCTCTCGGCGCCTTTCCCGGCTACAATGATTGAGTATCCCGCTGGCGCATAGGCCGGGTGGTCGACACGGATCTCGCCGAGCGTGCCTTGGATCTTGATGGCGGTGTGGTTTGTGTCCTCGGGGTCAGCGGCGACACGGATGCTACTCGTGGCGATGCCGATCGAGTTGGGGAACTTTACGATGACAGCGTTCTCGGCGTCGACGCCCGTGCGCTCGTATTTGGAGATTGTGCCGGTGATGCTGGGCGCGGATTGGGGTTTGACGGCGGCGGGGAGAGTGTGATAGAGGGTTTGGTAGACCCAGGTTAGGGAGTAGACGCCGACTATGGGGTTTACAGGTTAGTTGTGATCCTTTGGCTTTGGACTTTGTTAGGATAGATGGTGGCTTACGATCTAGTAGTACTCCTCCGGCAAGGTCAGGGTTCACCTGTGGCATATATCAGCATCTTCCATATCTGGCCGCCACTCCATTCCAAGGGCATCCCCAATTCTAGCTCACCATCCTATGCGAATCATCATACTTCTCCTCCGGTGCCTGCGCCATACTCAGATCCGCAAAGACCCTCCTAACCTCTCCGATGCGCCCCTCCTTAATCAACGACCTGATCTGCACACTGATCGGGAAGAACCTCGTCCACACCGCCTCCATCAAAAACAGCCCCTTCTTCCTCGCCAGCTCCACCAAGATCCTGGCCTGCTCCGTATTGACCGTGAACGGCTTCTCACACACCACGGGCTTGCCTGCATTTAGCGCCAGCAGGCATTGCGGGAAGTGGTGCGAGTGCGGCGTCGCAATGTAGATGATGTCGACGTTGGGGTCGGCGACGAGCTCCTCGTAGCTTCCGTAGGCGGTGCCGTTGGGCGCGCCGACGTCGGAGAGGAAGGTCTTTGCCCGCTCGAGAGAGGTGGCGGAGGCGGCTGCTTGCACGATGTGTTTGATGTCGGTCACGCCGCGGGTGCTTGGGTCGAGGACGAGGTCCTTGGAGAATTCTGAGACGGGTTAGAGGTGGTGATGCATGAGATGACACTGGGGGATATACCTCCTGCAATCCAGCCGGGGCCTGTAGCTAGCTGTTAGCTTGACGCTCTGGTAATTGATACCTGGTTATGAAGAAGGACATACCGAGGATCCCCCAACGAACAGTGTATGGCGCAGACATTATCTCAAGAATTTGCTGGTAGGTTTAAACAGTGCAAATTGAAGCAATACTTCAGTAAACAGTTTGGGAGCTCCATCTCTATTTATATCCACTGCCCCTCACTGGCACTAGAGGCGGGGATCCGGGCGTCGTCTGTCGTCTGTCGTCTGTCGTCTGTTTACGCTTTACCCGACGCCCAGGGAAGCTCTCGCCTAAATGCGGGGAAACCAGCCCGAGGATCCGATGCTGGCTCGCCGTACGCAGTACCTGCAGCTTTAACGTCATCGGAGGGGAGCCCCGGGGAATCGCTCCGGAGGAGAGGTTTTGTTGTGTTCCCGGCTTGAGCTTCAAACTCTCTGCAGCTCCGGGAGATCGGTCTTGTCTCCGCATGGGTCATGTGGAATAGATGCTGGTGGGGATGCACAGCTAAGTACATGTATGTATCCTTGCAGATGCTCATCATGAGGTTAAAACCCGGATGCCAGTGCTTAGCAATTGGTTTCGGACTTAGGGGCTCGGATGTTTAATAACAAAGAATACCTTTTATGATATCAACGCAAGTCTGGATTCCTATAGAAACACATCGCTCGCACTCTGCTCGCAGTTTCTTTTCAGGGTAAAGTTTGGTTATGCTTCTTGGAGTGTTTTTTTATCCCTCTCTCGAAACATGTGGGACCGGTCATTGGCCGTTTGGCCAGAAACAGTAGTAACTGAAATCGAAGCACACACTCA